GCAAAGGTTAATACCCTATCTTGCTATAATTGCTTTCTTCTGTGTAAATAACAGCGTGTAGCAGCCTTATTAGCTACCTAAAGATTAACAACATAGTTGCACACTAAAACTAGTAAATATGCTATTAGCTCTGCGCCTTTAGTAAGCTAATTAAGGGCATTAACTATTAATATTAGTAAGCTATTAGCGTGTCTCTAGATCCTCTCTTAAATTAGCTTTAATTAAGACCTAAATTCTAGGGTGTTGCTTAGTGTCTTAGACTCCTACGTGCTGTTGTCTATAATAGGTAGTGTTAGTATGTGTAGCTGTACTTTAAGCTTTAATATCACAGCCTCTAGGTTAAATAGGACTATGCTAGCGCCTCTAAATCCTCCCTAGATGTTACTCTTAGTAATTAAAGCATTAAAAGCAGCTTTAAAGTACAGCAAGAACTTAGGTTTAGTGATGTAAGTAATCTTGCTGCGCATCAGCCGCTTAGCTTGGCAGCTATAGGCCTTCTTTGACAGGGCAAAACAGCCTATGTCAAGTGGCTGCAGTAGGTGCGACAAGTGTAGAGGCATACACAGGGTAATAATCTTGTGTTCCTTGCAGTACTGGTGAATTTCAACTAAGTTGTGGCTCTTGTAGCTATCTAGAATAAGCAGCTAATAGCTGCTAACAGTGCGCGCCTTTGTGTGCTTATTAAAGTGCTTTAACTACTTAACTTTAAGCTTATTATTAGTCTAACTATTATTAGAGACATTAAGAACCTAGTTATTAGATATACTAGGCTCCTTATACTAGGCAGAGAGGTGGTGCTTACTAGAGAAGATAATAAAGGGTAGGATAGACTAGCCCTTTGCGCAGATGCCTTAGATAATACTAGTGTACTCTTAGTTGCCCTGCTGCACTGCCTTTAGTCTCCCTTAACGCTTAGAGCCTGTAACAACAGCTCCTGTTAATATAACGCCTATTATAAAGCTAGACTTCTTAAAGTTATATGTGTCTTTATCTTCTATACTATACTTAGCTTTAGTATTCTCTACTAGTTAGAACTAACGTACTCTATCACCGAGCCGGTCATATCACCAAACCGGTCACTTAAAATCCCACCAAAAAACACAGAAACCATACCCCTGCATCTCAATAACTACTTAATAGAATCTTCTAAAAACTTCAGAATAGAGCTGCATCTATACTAATAAGACTGTTTAAAAGTCTTAGAGTGCTTAGCCCTATATTGCAGATGTTGTTTAGAAGATACTAAAATACAGGGGTAGCTGCAGGCTATCTCAACATCTATACTAGCTATTAGTCTAAGACTTTTAAATAGTTTTATTAGTATAGATGCAGCTCTATTCTAAAGTTTTTAGAAGATTCTATTAAGTAGTTATTAAGATGTAGGGGTATAGTTTCTGTGTTTTTTGGTGGGATTTTAAGTGACTGGTTTCGTGATATGACCAGCTTGGTGATAGAGTACGTTAGTCCCTAATTACCTTAGTATCCTTACACAGAGCTCTCTTATAGTTATACTTATAATTAAATTTAACTTTAAGCTCTAGCTGACGTTTTACAAAGTTAGTAGCCTAGTTCTTGCCAATGTAGGGCTAGTGGCGATCAGCAAGCAGAGAATTAGCCACATCCTCTACATTAGCAAGTTAGGGTGGGTATCCTTGCTTGTCTAGCTTTAATACATGCTAGACAATCACCTCCTTCTTAGTACTAGTTATCCTTATTATATTAGGCTTGCAATCACGTTGTGAAGAGGTTCTAGTAAGGCGCGTGCCTAGGGTGCTTCAAGAGACCTAGTATATTACTGCAGCGTGTTACACACTTAGTGTCGCGTCTTGCTAGATATCCTAAAGGGCAAGCTGTATATCTGTTTTATTTAAAGGCTTTTTTATGTTCTTGTGTTGAGGCATTACAGGGAGAGTGAAGTTCGGCGTAGTCTTGGCAAAAGTGGCCAGCTCGCTTGTGGAGTACGTTTTACAGTTGCAACACTTCCTTAGTAACTAGTTGAATTATTTACTTATTATTGCATTGTATTGTAATAGTGTGTGCGCCTATATTAATGTGTAGTTTGCGCAAGAGTCTTAAGATAAAGAGTGCTTCTTTTATAACCTAGGAAAGAGGAAGAAGCTTAGCCTTAGTTATTAATATTATTACTGTGTCCTGCTTATTTACCTTCTATGCAATAAGGCTGCTAAAGAGTTTAATTGCGTAGCCTTAGGAGCTCTTTCTGTCTATCGTGTTGTTAGCAAAGGACGCCTTACTTGCTACCTAGAGGCTAATGCCTCCTCTAAGCTGCAGTGATCGCTGTATAGTGTTAAGTAGAAATAAAAGGACCTGATCCGCAGCATCTTGGTTGCTAATGACTAGATTGGTGAGGAACTAGGCAAGCCTTGATGTGGCGAACGCAATGTCAGGTCGCGTGGTGACCGCAGCGAACAGCAGTGATCCAATTTTGCGCTGATACTTGTTGATTTCTGCTAGCGCTGCTAGTCTGCTCCTTAGCTGTAGTTTAGTTATTGCTATTAGAGTGTTATGTTGTATAGTTGTTTTCTTAGTAAGGCAACTAATTTTGTCTAAGTACTCTGCCTAAGATAGGTAGATTTTCTTGCTTACTTAGTCTTGTATAATCTCTATGCTAAGGAACTACTGTTGGTTGTGCCCTCCTGTGCAGGTGTACTTACTCTGTACATAGCTAATTTTCTGCAGTGCCTCTTGCTCTTTTAATTTATTATAACGTAGATTATCACCGAGCCAGCCATATCACCAAACTGGCCACTTTCTCTTAGCATGACCACCTTTTACCCTAACACAACATGCCTTAATAACAACAACTTTAGAATACTACTAGAGAAGGTAGATTTATCCTTGCTATCTAGGCCTTCTACACTAGCAAATTTCGCAGTATCTATAGCGCTGCTAGAGCGTTAAATATACCTTATTAGTAGGTCTCTAATTACCTTTGCAATATCACGTTTTAACTAGACGTACAAGCTAATTGCTAGAAACTTACTATACTAGAGGAGTAGATAATTGTCTAGTATATACTTAACCTTAATTTGCAAGGATTTGCGCCCTAGCTATGTAAGGTGGCAGATATAGCTAATAAGATACTTAGTGTGCGTAGTGAAGAGCATATTAGCAAAATATAGGCTAGCAGGCTTATAACACAATCAGACAAGCTTAAAATAGCCTTTAATTAAGCTAAGGATAGACAGAGGATACTACAGGAAGATCCTAAGATAATTAGCGCGTAGTTTAAGCTAGTAGAGGATACTTAAGTTAAGTATAGCGTTTATAACAACAACATGCACAACTTTAATAAAACTAGGTTCTAGATAGGTGTTGCTTTGTCTTTAAAGGTTGTAACAGGCTTAGAGAGACGTGCTTGGCCAGAGCTTGTTCAGCCAGGTGATCGCGAGTAGGTTACCGTTATCCAGAGCATCTGCGCCGCTAGGTATGCAACCCCGCCTTTCATCATCTACAAAGGACGCGTCCACATCTCTGCCTAGTATAAGGAGACAGTAGGCTGGCGGATGGGTAGGGTATGCTTTTTTACGTTTTAGCTTATAGCTTCTTAACTAGCAGAGATACGCTTACATCATCTATTAGTTGATAGAAGCGCCTAGTATTGCGCCTTCTAATAAAAAAAGAATTAGCTAATTCTGCCTAGTATTAGCTAAGTTATTAACACTACCTAGCAAAGTATACCTATTAATAGGTATGCTCGCTAGGTACCCCCCCTTTTTTAACATTTTCTAGCCTCTAGCTTGTGCAGGTTAATAGTTATAACAAAACCTTCTACTACAAAAATGTAGAGGTGGTTTTTCTCTTTCTTTTTAATCCTAGTTTGCTTGAATCCATGTATTATTGATAAGGTTTTGGGGGGTACCCACAAAGGACGTTGGAGTATACCCATTCCTCCAGCCTAGGAGACAGATATACCCTACAATTAGAAGCTCTTAGTCTCTAAGAATAGTTAGATAAATAATATACTAAGTATTAAGTAGTTAAAGCACTTTAACACGCATATAAAGACGCGTTAGGTAGGAGTGTACAGGTTGCTTATCTTAGACAGCTATAAGAGCTATCTTAACTAGGAGTTTAAGGAGTATTACCTAGAGAACTAAATCCTTACTCTCTATATACTACCTTACTTATTATACATCCTCTAGCTACTTAACATAGTCTATTTCTTACTATTAAAGTATAAGTACTCATAATATATTTAAGACTTAGCACACTAATATATCATCTATATTAATAAGGAAGGCTTCCTACTAGCCTTTAGGGACATTTTCCTTAATATATTTATAAAGTTTAACTACTAAAAGGCCTTTAAGGTATTAGGGCTTATTCCTACTAATATATAGGTAACGTGTTTCCCATGCGAGCGGGCACCCCAAGCGAGTCGGCAGCTCTTCCCCACCAATACGCCTGCGCGGCGACACTACGCAACGCTACAACAATATTTTCTTTTATACGCGACAGTAGATTATACTTTAGATTCTTCGCTATTATCTGCATCCTTTATCTCTACCTTGCAGGTGCGGGAGTTATGCCTAGTCTTGCCACAATGACCACAGTGCCTCTCTGCGCGCACCCTCTTCGCAGGCGTTTTGCTATTATTACAACTGCCACCCTCTCTTTTAGTAATTAAGTTAGATACCTTACTAACTATTAAGGTCTCCTCTACCTGTACATACCGCCTTTTACAGCCCTTGCGCTTTGTAAGCTCTTCAATTGCGCTTCGCATGCGCGCCTGTTCCTCCTGTAGCAACACCATATTATGCGCAATCTGCTGAGCGCCTTTACTCAGCTGTCGTACCTGCTCGTCAAGGGAGCTTGCAGTAGAACCTGAGCGTCTTTGCATCCTCTGTTGAATAAGCGTAGTTTAAGCCTCTACCTCTTTAGCGTTGCGTGGTGTCTTCGCTTCCCACGCGGCGTCGTCGCGCTGTGGTGGAGTCGGCGTGCGCAACCTCACATCAAGCTTCAACAACACTGCCTCTAGGTTTAGTGGAACTAGCCCAGCACCTCTAAAACCTGCCTAAGCGTTCTCCTTTGTAAATATCTGCTTGTATGCAGCTTTAAAGGCTGGTAGGAAGGTTTCCTTGCTGATATAGTGGATGTGGTTGCGCGCCAAGGCTGAGATGCTGTCGCTGTAGCTGCGCTTCAACAGCGAGAAGCAGGCGACGTCAAGAGGCTGCAGTAGATGCGATAAGTGAGGGGGCATGCAGAGGGCAATTATCTTATTCTCCTTGCAGTATTCTTGGAAATCAGCTGAGCAGTGGCTCTCGTGGCCGTCGATAATCAGCAGTCTCCACGCTCCTACGGGCTTCGCATGCGTATCGAAGTGTTTAAGCCAGGCAAGCGCTAGCTCGTTGTTTGTCCAGCCGTTTGGGCTTACTTGGATGATCTAGTCGCGTGGTATACCTAGCTTAAACTAGGTGGAGATGAGCACCTTGCTAGCAAAGATGATGAAGGGTGGGATGCGCTTCCCTGTCGCGCTGACGGCTTGTACCAGGGTAGTCTACTTGCAATTGCCAGGCTGTAGCTTCTTCGCTTTCCTAGGCTTATCTAAGCCTGTTACTACGAGCTAAGACGTGATCTTGCCTATTAGGAAGCCAGTCTTATCAAAGTTCTAGGTATCCTTATTAAGGATGCCATACTTCGCCTTTATTAATTGAACAAGCTCGAACCAGGGCCGGATTAGCGCTGGGTCCTCGCAGGCAGCACGCTGGCGATCATACGGCCGGCTCCAGCGCTTCTTAAGCTCAGGTGTACGCTTAATGAAGTTGTCTACCCAGTGCTTGCCAACAGGCTTCCTATCCCGCTCTCTTAGCAGTCTATCAGCCATATCTCGCACAAGAGCCTTTGTTGGTGGTAGTCCGCGTAGAGACGCGTCAAGTATATTGTGTAGAACCACCTCCTCTTCTAGCTTTGTAAGGCGCTTTAAGTTCAGCTCGCAATTGCTTCAGGCGCGTTGTCCAGCGCGTCGCGCTTAGATAGTCGTTCAAGGGACATTATAGATCTCTGCAGC